AGGCAGCCAATCAATGTTTCTCTCTCACATCAATGTTTCTATCTCTCTCTCCCTTCCTCTCTTGCTCCAAAAAAAAAATAAAAACATATTTAAAAACAAAAAGCCTGTATTAGATGCCAATCTAAAATACAAAGCGCTGAGTTTTAGTTGTTACTGTTTCTAAAATGGGTTTAGAAGTTAGTCCATATATCCTAAGCTCATACATATCAGACAGTCAGTTATGATTTTATTCCTTCCTGACACACACACACACAGCAGCAGCAGCAGCAGCAAAGAGGCACTTACAAAGCACATTTCTGTTCTGAGAGCACTTACAGTTTATATACTTGATCCCCACTGAGGGGACAGGCTGAGGTGCACATTTAGCTATCTCTGCGTTCCTCCAGACTTGAGTTCCAATGACTCCTAAAGCACCTACAAACCCTTAATCTTACAAAACTTGTAGGATACTTTTTCTGTCAGTTGTGCATTTTGGCTTTATATCTTCCACCTCAATATTTAGTAGGAATCCACAAATCATTTCATATTGCAACTGGAGTCTGAAGTCATTCACAGTCTGATAACCTATGCATGTGTCAAATTATCAAAGGAAGTAGATAGAAATTGGTAAATGTGGCTAGGCAAGAGATTTCCTTCCTCTTTGAATGTCCTGTGAGTGGTTGAGATATATCTGTGGGGGGAAGACCCAAACCACAAAAGTCCTAAATGAATAGTCTCCTTAAGGGAATAACTGAAAACAGTCTACAAAAGAGGTTTTGTAGAAACACATGTCCACAGTAGAAGATACATTTAATGCCTAATTTGAAAATAAAAGCATCATTTCAGGTATTAAAAAAAAAAAAAAAAACCTGTAAACACGGTTCTACAAATTAGATATGCATATTCAAAGTGAAAACCTCACTCTTTCTCTCCTTAATTTCTAGTTGACTTTATATGGATTAAATTCCAACCTCAAATATTTGTTCAGACCTCTTAGATCTTCAGGCTTTCCAAAAGCAGGGGAAATCATACCCGTAGCAGGCCCAGTGCTGGCCAGTAGTTGCAATGAGTCACAGCTGGAATGTCCTGTGGTTAACATTTTGCTCTGAAAACAGAATCAGAGGGCTCCAACGGGTTGCCATGGTAACCAGTATTTGTATACTTTGAAAAATGACTGTTCCTGTTTTGTGTGGTCAATTTACAGGGGAATGAATTGTAGCGGTGACGTTAGCCATCTGTGTGGATTCAAACAAAAAACTCGATTTAATTAAGTGTAAACTTTAGAAGGACTTAAAATTGGGGGCATGGGATTTTTTTGGTATAGGGGTCTTGTTTTATACTAATTAATAAGTGTTTTCATCAGTGTCTGTTTGACATTTATTTTAATGTATCATTTTCTCCTTTCCAAAGGTGAAAAGAAACTAATTGTCTTTTTTCCATGCTCTTCCAAACCCGAGCCCTTTTTACTCCTGCCCCCGCCCCGTTCACAATGTGTTATTTAAGAACAACTGGGATTCAGGGGCCCCCCTTCAATGAGGTAATCCCATCAGGAAGGAAGGAAAAAAATCCCCTCAAAGTCATGTGAAAATGTCAGGTTTCTTAACCTTGCTGAGCAGGGAGACAAAACTACTATACTGCTAATGACCTTGAATAGAATCTAAAATATGTTTCCTCCAAATGTCACTGGCTCGTATTTCAGAAGAACCATCAGGCTTGGAGCAATTACAGTTATAGAGAAATCTTACCTTATGTTGTGTTGGATAAAAATGAAATAATTAAAGGTTTGGTCACTGAACTACAATTCGAAGTGAAGAATGAGCCTTTTGGAGTGGAAAACAGTAGAGTGTGTTCTTGCTTATTATGCCTCAGCTTGGGAACAGTATGTTTATTTCTGTATCAGTTAGTTTTGAATTGGAATGCGTACACTGAATTTAATAAAAGTGACGCTGAGATCAACACCCTAAGTGAAGCAGTAGCTGAGCAGTAAACAGATTGCAACATGAACCTCCCCTCCCCCTCAACTCCACCTCCTGCATCCGACGGTGGGGCCTGAGGTCAGAGGCCACCAGCTTTGGTTGTTGTTACCGGTTCTTTTTATGTTGCTTTATTCTTTTTCTTATTTTTGCTCCCTCATTATGGCATCTGCCAACTATCTAGAATATTAGAAACTTGATAATAAATATACACATTTGAAGCAGCAGTATTAAGAAAATGAAAAGGAGGCTGAAGTCAGCCTGAAAAATAAATCTCCTCTTTATTCCTTGGCTTAAAATGCTTGGGTTTAGAGTAAGTTATATAATGAACTTCCGAGTTTCTTTTTACATCTCTGCTGGCTTCCCCCCAAGTCTCACAAGCATGTATGTCTATTGAACAGCCAATTTTGAGAACTCAGAATGAGACATGCCAAGATTTATAAATCTGAGATGTACTATGACCCTGGTCCCTGCTGCACAGAATGGCCACACAGGATCGGGACCCTTTGCTGCCTAAAAGGAGCATGCTGGAATTTAGGACTGTAAGACCCTAATAGGCGTCTCACCCTGCAGAGCTCAAGTCACAGGCAGATCAAGTCCCATTGAAATAAATGCAGCTGTGGGGAAGCCATTGTGTCTATTCACCGAGGATGCCCTGGGGGGATGCAGAGGCGGTAGGGGCTCCAAGGAAACGCATAGTTAGGAAGGGACAGAGGACATATGTGCCTTTAACTAGAATGAACAGAATGTGAGCCTTCTCACCCAGAAGCACAAGAGCTGAGGCATTTCAAAGAAAAATGGATTATGACTGGCTCTAGGGATTTGAGAAGGTGCCATGGAGGTACTTTGTAGAATCTGATTATAAAGGTTTTCATGCTGAAATCAGTATGCTGCACACAGTATTTTTAAAATATGTTTTTATTGATTTTTTTTTTTTTAGAGAGAGGAAGAGAGAGAGAGAGAGAAACATCGATGTGAGGGAGATACATCAATCACCTGCCTCTTGCATGCCCCCTACTGGGGATCAAGCCGGAAACCCAGGCATGTGCCCTAACTCAGAAGTGAACCCGGACCTCTCAGTAAATGGGACAAGGTTCAATCCACTGAGCCTTACCAGCTAGGCCACACAGTGTTTTGTTTTTTTTTGTTTTTTTCAACCCTCATCCGGAGACATGCTTAGAGAGAGGAAGGGAGGAAGGGAGGAAGGGAGAGAGAGAAACATCCGTCGGTTGCCTTCCAACGTACCCTGAATGAAGATCAAACCTAAAACCCAGATATGTGCAGTGATGGGAATTGAACTGGCAATCTTTTGGTGCACAGGACCACGCTCAGCCAACTGAGCCACACCAGCCAAGCTTCACACAGTATTTTATATCATAGCATTTTAGTAAATAAAAATAATTTGGTCAAGTTGGTATTTGTTGAATCCAGATTATGCATTTTCCTTACAGACACATGCAAACACATACACTCTCACCTACTCTTACATACATGTAATCTCCTAGAGAATAACCAAGGAAGTCCATGAGTCTCCGATCAGATACCTTCCATTTGCTGTCATGGGCGTTCAACCCAAGGGTAACTGGAACAAAGTGTTTAAGAGGAACAGTGAGGGATTAAAAGAAAATATAATAGCCTGAGTCGTGAGGAAGCCAGTGTTTTGGATTATCTTTGCTGATTGAAGAGATATGGCTGAGAGTTTTAGTTTAAAGGTGTGTATCTAATGAAATTAAAAATATATATTTTTCTTTATTGATTTTAGAGGGAGAGGGAGAGAGAGAGAGAAACATTGGTGAGCAAGAACATCGACTGGCCGCCTCCTGCATGCCCCACACTGGGGATTTGGCCCACAACCTGGGCATGTATCCTGACCGGGAATGGAACCAGCAACCTCTTGGTGCATGGGTCAATGCTCAACCACTGAGCCACACTGGCCGGGCTAATGAAATCATTAAATGAGGCAGGGAAAGGGTGCACAACAGGAAGTATAAATACCTCAGTGAGAAAATGGGCAAATACCTTAGCATAAAAGTTCTAATAGAAAAAATACAAATGTCCAATAAACATGAAAAAAACTTCAACCTCAAGTGACACAAATGAAGACAATTACAAACACACACACACATGTTCACTATCAGCACCAGCTTTAAAAATAATAGCCATGGCTGTGAAAGTTCTACTGCACAAAATATTTCTGTAAACTGCTGGTGGGTGGGAAAATTGGTATAAATTAAATCATATACATAAGGAGCCAAAAGGAGATTATACTTTTTATTCATTTCCCTTTTAGGAATATTTCCTGGAGAAAATGTAAAATAATAGACAAATATTTATATCAACAAAAACATTGGAAATATCCTAAATGAACAACAGACTTGTAATGTAAATAATGTATTAGTATCATCTTATGCTACCATTAAAAAAATTTACATATGATTTAATGACATACTTAGTATAAAACAGGGAACATAATGAAACGTGCAGCCAAATTTACGCATACGCATATACACCTACACACACGTATGTACACATTTACAAATGAAAAAAATGTTTACAAGCTAAACTTCTGGTATTAACAAAATATCAACAGGTATTATCTTTAGTGGGATTAATGCTTTGTTTTTATTTTTCATAGCTTTTTTAAATGTCTGTTTTTTATGGTTAGTATTTATTTAAATATTTACATCTTACCATTATAACACCGCTGTTTAATGGGCTTCTCTTATGTGTCAGTGTGTGAACATATCTCGTGCAGCCTACTGTCTCCTTGTTCTGTGTCCGGATTATACTTTGGAGGGAATTTACTGGACTGACTTAAAACCAAACAATACTTGGACTTCCAAATTATTTGTCTTAGAAATCATCCCCATGACTCTCTAATTTTCTATTTCGAATACTGATGTTACGCATCCTGTACGTGACCCACCTAAGCGGATGTAACCTTCACTTTTGAACCAAGGAACAGTGTTTGCTGCATGAACAGACTACTCTTTGCATCTGGCAAACCTCACGACGTGTTCTCACATCGGCAAGTCTCTTTGCTTCCAGCTCTATGACGGCTCACGCAGGATGGGGCGCTACTGTGGAAAAGAGAGGCCGCCTTCAGGGAGTACGGCCGGCTCCATTCTTCGGGTGCTGTTCCACACTGACGGGGTTGGCCACGTCGAGAAAGGGTTCCGGATGCAGTGGTTCATCCATGGTAAGCCCGGCGCCGATCTCAGGCAGATTTTGTCATTGCTATTTGACCAAGAATTGTCCCCATTCCAATTCTCTTTGGAAACCATGCCATCAACACTAATTGAACAGGGGTAGTCATCTGGTGCTCGGCCTTGGACATTTCACTTAGACACTGGGGGCCGAGGGGACGTCAGTCCTGTTAGGGCTAAGAGGGAGGTGACGTCCAAGCGGACAGGATTTGGATAACTGCTTCAGCAGGTGCAGTGACCGCTTCAGAGGAAGAAGGGAACAGAATGAAGCGTCCGAGGGTGTGGCAGGAAAACTACGAGGCGGGGTGGGGACCTCTGGGGAGAGTGGGATAGGATGAGAGGTGAGGCTTCCTCTGACATTTCTGAGGAAGGAATGACGGGACAGAGGAAGAGAACAAGTCGGACAGAGAGAAAGGGAAGGGCAAGGCTGTGGAGCAGGAGCAGGAGCGGAGAACCGGTGACGCACTAAGGCAGGAGCGTGTGTGGTGCCTCTGCGGCGCCCACTGCGAACTGGTGGCTCAGGAGGCAGGTGGGGTAGTCGAATGGTTAGGGCGCGGTCTCCATTCACCAAGGTAGGGGGTTCGATTCTGGTCAGAGCACATACAATAGTCTAACAATGAATGCATACCTAAGTTGAACAACAAATCTCTCTCTCTCTCTCTCTACTCTTTTCTCTCTCTGTCTCTCTAAAATAAATAAATCAATAAATATTAAAATAACTTTAAATTGTTTCTCTGAAGATGAAAATTCATTTTACCAGTCAAAAAGGAGTGGTGCTCTAAACATGCTCTGCCAAAGCAGCATCAGTCACCTGGAACTTGTTAGAAATGCAGATTCTCAGGCCCCATCCCAGGCCTATGAAATCACAAACTCCAAAAAGAGGTTCAGTCTGCCCAGTGGTGTGGCTCAGTGGTTGAGCACTGACCCATGCACCAAGAGGTCGCCGGTTCAATTCCCAGTCAGGGCTCATGCCCAGGTTGTGGGCCCAATCCCTAGTGGGGGGCATGCAGGAGGCAGCCAATCAATGTTCTCTCTCATTGATGTTTCCATTCTCCCTCATTCTCCCTTCCTCTCTCTCTCAAATCAGTACAGGAAAAAAAAAAAAAAGAGGCCCAATCATCTGTGTTTTAACTGGTCTCCCTGGTGACTAATGTTTGAGAACTGCTCTCCTAGAGTGATCCAGACTTGAAAATTATAGTCCTTGTGAAAATTATAGTAGCAGTTCTCAACCAGCGCCTCAGGACTCACTGGTCTGTCTCAGTGGGTTTGAGAGAGGAGTTGCAGTGTTACAGCAGGAGCCACACACAGACATCTAGGCTATGGCTGGACTGTCAAAGTCAAGGGTGCACACAAGGTGAGGGCATGAATGTGTGTCATGGCTGACTCTTGAAGGTTGTTAACATCATAGTGCATTTATTATATGAATCTCAGTGCTAATATATAACTGAATAACCCTATTATATATTTAAGAGTGTTAGACATTCTGAGATCGTTAACTGGAGACTGAGTGTATTTCTGTTAAATAAAAATGGAATCTTCAGTGTTTAAACTATTCAGTGGTTATCCACAGAGCTACTTATAGCTTGAAATACGGATTATGAATTTCCAAAGTAAATTAACTAGAATGATTAAGCTTATAGAAGTTCTCCACCATCCTCTTCATCAAGTAGGTAGATTTAACCTTGGAATGTCGACTTATGCATCTATTAAATGAAGGGGTTGGATTGACTCATCTCTATTACACAGTTCATCTCTAGTATTCCGTGATTTAGAAATGGCGTGATTCTAAGGAAACCAGAGACAATGTGAAAAGACCTGGAAGAAACAGGGAAATCTCAGAAAATGCACCAGATCTTCAAGGACGAGGGTTATTTTCCAAACAGTGTTTCTCAGACTTGCATGTGCACAGGAGTCACTTGTTCACATGCAGATTCTGACGCAGGGGGGCTGAGGTAAGGCCCATAAATCTGCATTTCTGAAGGGCTCCCAGGTAATGCTGACGGTGCCACTCTCTAGACCACACTTTGAAGAACAAGTCAAGAGCAGATGTTAAGGGTGGAGAAATAAAATGATGGAAAGACAGCATCCATTGAGTCTAGAGCAAGTTTCGAGGTGCTCCCAGGGCTCGTTGTAATAACAGCAAAATAATATCTTCAACCTTTCTCTGTCAATGGGATAAGAGTGGGGACCCCTGTAAGTAAAATGACCTTACTGCTTAAGAGATTCAAAGAGGAGAAAGCTTTCACATGAGACAGAAGGTGGAAATTCAGAAATGCCGACCAGGAGACTGGTTCGCGGCTCGAGATACACACTGGATTTCCCTGGTAGTTTGTAAAGAGCACCATGTCTGGGTTCCAGTCTCCAGAGAAAGGATTCAGTTGGTCTGCAGTGGGACCTTGACTATTACTGATTTCAAAAAACTCCCTAAGTGCCTGGCCGGTATGGCTCAGTGGTTGAGCATCGACCCATGCACCAAGAGGTCGCTAGTTCGATTCCCAGTCAGGGCACATGCCCAGGTTGTAGGCCAATTCCCCAGTGGGTGCATGCAGGAGGTAGTCAGTTGATGTTCTCTCACATCGATGTTTCTCTCTCTCTAAAATCAATAAAGAAAAAAAAATTTAAAAACTCCCTAAGTAATTCAGGATGGAGAGTTTTAGGAGCAGTGAATTTGCTGGTCATATCTTTCTCCACAGTGAGCTGCTTCCCCCCTGTCCAGGCTATTCTAGCCACGTTAGCCCAAGGCCACGCCAAGGAGCATGATTCAATGGTCATTACTAACTATACCGATGGCTGTGTCACTGGGTGCTTCCAGCCAACGTGCTAGACATGGCTGACTCTTCTGCTGACAGTGCTGCGTTTTTGTTGGGACATTTTTTTCCTGTCAGTTCCTTCTGAAATCTGTCTTCATAGGGGGAGTCAAAGACACCCTCTGTCTATTGTCTTTTCCTGTTTACTATTTCAAAACTTTTTCCCAAGTGCTGAAAACTTGCAAAGCTTGGACCTGGAGTTATGCAACAAAATTTCGCCAGCTGGGACCAGAACTGAAGAAACAGTTAACTCTGTGTCGCCCACTGTATATAAATTATACATGGGGAAAACCTTCTGGAAGGGGATGGTTAGCAGTCTAGATCAGTGCAAAATTAACTAATTATCATAAACTGTGGTGATGCAGTGCCACAAGGACCCAGAGTTTACTCTCTGCATCTAAACTGAGTCTTTAGCTGGAGATGATAGCCTGAGAAGAGGGGCTAACAGAATAGATGGGGTCAGGGCAGAGGTTTCAGTGGGACCCAGTCCCTCACGTCTTACCCATTGGAGGTAGACTGAAGACCTGAACCTGGTTTCGCAGTTCTCCCTGTCCTTGATCCACAGATGTTTTGGGCCATGTGCTGTGTAGGAGCTGGGGACAGTGTGGGACTCCTCCCAGCAGGCCTGCCTGGTTCCTCCTCTCCTAGAGTTTGCAGGTGACTGGAGAAGTAGCCATCAAGCAGAGAGCACTCAAATAAACATCAATGATAAGTGACAGGCAGCACGCAATAGAGGATTTGACATTGACAGGAGGTCAGAGAAGTCCTGCTTGAAAATGGGTCCTTGAACTAAAATGTAAGAGTAAGCAGGAGTGCCTGGCCAGTGTGGCTCAGTGGATTGAGCATCGTCCCATGGACCGAGAGATCCTGGTTCGATTCCTGGTCAGGGCACATGCCCCAGTTGTGGGCTCCATCCCCAGTGGGGGGCGCACAGGAGGCAGCTGATGGATGTTTCTCTCTCATCGATGTTTCTCTCTCTCTCTAAAGACATTTTATTTATTTATTTATTTATTTATTTATTTATTTATTTATTTTTAAAGCAGATTTAATTATTATTTTATTTTATTGTTATTTTTTTATCCTCACCCAAGGACACTTCCAATTTTTGTTCAGATAGAGTGGGAGGGAGAGAAAGGAAGAGAGAGAAACATCGACGTGAACGGGACACATCGAGTGGTTGGGATAGGGCCGGGAAAAAAACTGCAACTGACTTAACGTGCCCCTAGCGGAACCGAACCCAGGTCTCTCTGGACCACAGGCTGACGCTTTAACTGCTGAGCCAAACTGGCCAGGGCTACTGATACAGTTTTGAAGTGACTGAACTTTCCTAGTAAGTACATGTGACTTTTAGAATCAGAAAACAAGATTTCCGTGTAAAAGTTGTAGCAGTTGTCCTCATGAATGTGTGCGTGTGTGTGCAGTGGGTGTGTGGATGTGGAGGTCATCACGACGATCCTTCTGCACAGCCTCACTACATCTCCCTCTCAGAATCAGGTTCGAGGGCCAGGGCCCAGGCTACCCAGCCTGGCCACCATCCCTGAGCATTGCTGCCGAGGCAGAATCCCCACACACTTCATTTTGCCGATCAATAAATAAACCCGTTCGCAAAATGTGCTTCTTTGTGGACTGCACAGACCTTATATTTGCTTTGAGAAAATGGATCTACAATCGGGCTTTATTTGCGGGCCCGTTTCTAAAGTGGCCGAGTGGATGGGCGTGAGATTAAAGCGCACTGCCTGGCCTGTATGCTCTGTGGGAGCCGTCAAAGGGAGTCCCACCCTGGAAAGAAAGACGGGCTGCAGTCGCCCTGCCTGGCTCAACTGTTCACGGTATTCAGTGCTGACAGCATTGTCCAGAGGCTGAATTCAGCCTCGGGGGCCTCCGCCCGGCTTGCTGAAGGGAATATAGACCTTTCTGCTGTGGGAATAGGGGCCCCCCGCCAGCTGTGCACACCCCTCGTCTCTCCTGCTCCTTTCTCCCAGAGGCCTGCTTTCCCTTGGCAGTGGATCCCACGGACAAACAAGGTCAAGGGGCTTTGTGAGGGAGAGAGGACATTTGCAAAGGAAGAGAAGCCCTCCGCTAGGAATAGGGGAAGGGCTAAGTGGCATGTGATCAGGAGGTGATGTCACCCTGGATGTTCACAAAGGAGAGTGGAAGCCTTTTCTTTGGGGAGACAGATGACATCA